TTGAGAATCCAAGAGAATGCATTCAATAGGAAATGGGAAAAGTGGAATATTTACATGGTTGACACCAATGAGTAAGTGAATGACTAATTCAATCCTGTACAGTATGTGTGAATATTGAAGTTCTTCAGGTAACTAGTATTTATTGTGCTTTATTTTACAACTGATTTGTGTATGTTATTCTGTTATTATTGTTGTGAAAACTCAATAAAAGCACAAGTGACATAGTCCAGGATAAAAGGACATATGTGTAGATTTAAAGTGCAGGAAAAACAGACGGCAAAGAACATTCCCATTCATCCCCAAAAAATAATATGAAAACATAATTAAATGCAGTGTCTTTAACCCTTTGGAGTCCTGGGCTAATTTGGCTGTTTTCGCATACTTTTTTTGTCTTACTAAACCCCATTTTTTTGTCTTATTAAACCCCATTAAGAAATGTTTGGTATGTCAATGTTTGGTATCTTTTTTTTTAGGACAACCTCACCTACTGTATATAACCTGATAGTTCTTTTTTTTCATTTTGAGATACTATATGAACATTTTGGACCCAAAATCACAAAAAAACGGATTTTGAAAATTATATAATTTTTTATATAGGTAACACAAACATGTACAACGAAACAATTTGAAAGCTGGAAATATATATATGGGATGTCACTATGATAATGTGAAAGTGTGATCGAGGTAGCATTAACCTATATACGTTTTATACATTTTATGAACAAATAACAGGTGTATCCATAGGCTTTTTTTCCTCATTTCTCAAGTTCTGTCAACAGTGACACAGTAGGCACAACAAAACATTTAAAAGCTTAAATAATGTACATGTGATTTCATTCTGATAAGGCAAAAGTGTTATTATCAATATAATACAAATATATATATACACATTATGTACAAAAATCTGTTTTTTATGTCTTTATCTGTGCCACGCTTCAAAGCAGTTTCTGTCAACTCCTCCTCCTTCTCCATGTCAAAAAACAAGCTTATAGCTTGACTCACGTTCAGAGTTCTCTTTATCATAATTGAATCTTCAAAACTCTAAATCTATCTAACTATATCTAAATTCTCAATGTTTGTCGGTCACTTTACATCAATCGCCGTCTCTCTTCGTCTCCCGCCGTCTCTCTTCGTCTCCCGCCGCCTGTCTTCGTATATCTTCGTCTCTCTCCATTCCCTGCCGTCTCTCTTCGGTTCCCGCCGTCCCTCTTCGTCTCTTTTCGTCTCGCTTCGTATAACTCCGTTTACCTGATTACCTCACCCCCTCCCTGGTAAATACATCCTGTTGAGCAGGATCTACAGTTTCCAATATTTTTCCGTTTCGTAAAATGATAAAATACGGCGAAGATATTAAAATATGTGCTTCCATTTTTCATACTTTTGAAATATATTTGTATTAACTTTATGTCATCGTATATCTCCGTGTTTACTGGGTCTTTTTGCATGAAACAAAGACTGGCATATAGTTTCAAGCCAGTACTTTCGCGGAAACACACGACAATGTTGTCCGGACTGTTTTTATGAGGCACAGGCTTGAACAGGTCATGTGATCTGATCACGCCGGCGTGACGGTCGACTCCAAAGGGTTAAGATATGTCGTTAAGATGCTGCTTGGCCTATTTTCATATTTTAAAGACAGTGGTGGTTTATTGACAGATAATCTAAGCATAATCTAATTTGCAGGGTTTATTTGTTCTGTCTTCTTCTGTCCCGCACCTATCCTGTATGTGTGTGCTTTTGTAAAATGGTTTTCATATCTTTAAATCGGTCACTGCATACATAGAATAGAATTACCGAATGATGTGTGTCAATAGTTGCATTGAGAGAATGAGAAGGTGTACACTACAGTGAAGGGAAGGCAAATGACTCACTGCCGTCCTGTATGGCCTGGCAGATCAGCACACACATGGAGTACACGATGCAGGCGGTGGAGGAGCTGTCCACACCTCCACTCAGAGGCAACAGGAAGCCAGCCTGCAGCACACATCACAACCATTACACATCAGCGTCTAACAGCTTCTTAGTTCCAGAGCTTTTTAACGCCTAATGATCCAAGATCAGATGGGACAATCACAACAGTACAGCAGCATCTTATTTCAGTGTTCCTACTCACCTGTCCACTCCTCCTCAGGTAGTCCCACAGCCAGCAGGCCGGCCCTAGACTGAACAACACAGACGTCAGCAATTTAGACACTTGGATTCTGCAATGTGGCATTTCAGAAGCTACTCGATTATAATGGTTTTCCTTTCAGAATGAAATACATATTTTGTAACAGATGAGGTGTATGCATGTGTACCTGATCTCCTCCTCTGGTGTGTGAAAGTTCCATGTTATCGGTTGGTGTGTGGGAAGGTAGATATCGTCACCACTGGATAATGAGAAGTCAACCTTGACCCTGTGGCAAGGTTTAGGTTCACTTTCCTAAAACACAGAAATATTGGGAGTGAGAGGATATGGAGGAAGTTGCTGTAGAAATACTAAAATGTTACTTATTATACCTTTGGCTATGACAAATTAAAAAATCCTTTTGCAAACATTAGCATGCCAATATGCCCCAGTCACAATGTAAATATGCTGCAGTATACAGTGAATAGCCACATTCACTATCTTTATTCAGCATGTTTGCTGAGGCTGATATTGGACAAATTAAACATTTTTGCCAGACACAACATAGTGGGCTTCAGAGGTATGGAAGAAAATAAAAATGAGTGAGACGTGAAATCACTGAGGGTTGGGCGAAAGGGGTTTAGAGTGATCGTCCACCAAACCGAGGGTCGATGGTTCGATCTCCACCTGTCAACATGTGGAAGTGTCCTTGGGCCGCATACTGAACCTCAGTATGGGAATGGCTAACAGTGTGTGTGAATGTTTATCACTGCTGATGAGCAGGTGTGTGTGAATGCTGACCTGTATTTGAAAAAGCACTGAGTGGACTGGAAAGGCGCAATAAAAATGCAGTTTGTCTACGATATAGGCCATAATTCTGCAGCCCTGTACATTACACAGTCGGAGGGACTCACCATGTTTGGCTGGCACACTTCTCCTCTGTAGCTACGCACATCCTCAAGGTCAAGAGTGGCAGTAATCACCTCCTAACACACACACACACACACACACACACACACACACACACACACACACACACACACACACACACACACACACACACACACACACACACACACACACACACACACACACACACACACACACACACACACACACACACACACACACACACACACACAAAGGCGTTGTATAAAATAAAGACATTCTGAGATCCTGAAAACACTAGCACACACACACAAAAACACACTGGCTCTGGTTCTCTCCAGGTCATACCTACCACATCGCTCAGTGAGAACTGTGCTCCCTGAGCCACGATGTCTCCATTGATGGCCACCATGGCACAGCCATCGTAGTAAACACGGTCTCCATCGCAGCCCCTCTGGTTGGCATACAGATAGATACCTCCACTCTGGAACAACACCAACCATACAAGAGGTGCAGTACAGCTTTTAGTCATCAGTTGCATCCTCAAAACAGAGAATGTGCTGACAACCCAGGTTTCTGCATCCTGTTCTTGTGGAACAATACTGCCCTCTGGTGATCTCTGCATTGCATTGCCTGTCTAGGTACTGTAAAGGTGGTTGACACATTAAAACAAAGACCTACATTAAGTGTGGCGAAAGGTGCTGATAGAGCTGAATGACTTAAAAATGGTTTATGTGTCACTGCTCATTTTCTGATCGCAGTTTGGACGTTTTCCAATACTTGTAAATGAAACTCTAGAGCTGAAATGAGGGACGAGGGGGAAAGCTGACGAGAGAACGCGAAGCGTTTCCTAGGATATTGGTCCCTACAATATCGTGCACAACATAAAAAGGCTATCGGCAGACACTGAAATGAACCAATGTTCCCTGAACGTCTCATATGCAGGACACTGCAACGCTACAGGACTGCAGGGAGGCAGGCACTGAGAGAGCAGATGTTATGTTGTGTGGGTAAAACAAGTATGATAGTTGGTCAAATATTATCCTTCTCTATCCTGAGGATCACCCACTGCTCTCAGCCTGTATTTGTCTTCTACATAATCTTCTATATTTGCATGATAACAAAGGCTCCATGTGTCAATGTGAACCAAGGAGCCGATGTGTGTGGCCCCTGGTTAAAGTATACCTTGGTGGTGGCTGACTTGATCAGGTTGACTCTTTGGTCGGCTTTGCGCAGCTCGTGGTGGCTGGCAGACGCATTGGTAAAGATTTCAACTCCATCCAGACCCATCTGAATATGGGGACTGAGAGAAAGGAAAACTGGTTAATTCACCAGGATTGATAAAGAAAGTCCACAGAAAACCACAACACCCATGCAATCCCCATGCAATCCTCTGTTGCCTCACCTTCTAGGGTTCCACAGCTCTGCACACATCTCAGTTCCTATGCAGGTGTCCTTCGTGGACAGCACGCAGTCACCGAATGGGACTGTGTCCTGCAAGATACAAGCATTCACCCTGTTTGCTAATGTTTGCTGTGCAGAACAGATTGGCAAGTCCCTGTTTTACTGATCAGAGTTAGCTAAACACAGATGATGAAGGGTGTTTCCTACCTGCCCTGTTACCTCCTGAATCATTCTGGGCAGGAAATACTCTTCCACACGCCTTAAAGAAAAAACAAACAGATTAAATTGGCATCAAATGCCTCTTTGAAAATATAGCTTAAAAGGTGAAAAGGAACAGTTTCCCTACAATGATGGGGAATCTGTTCTAGCCCCTAGAAAAGTAATGTATATATATATATATATATATATTAATGCTGTCAAAATTATCGCGTTAACGGCGGTAATTAATTTTTTTAAATAATTGCGTTAAGATATTTAACGCATTTAACACATGTGCAGAATGGCCCGCCCCATACATCCCACCAGTGGCAGCGCCAGGGTATGCTACAGCCATACCAAGAAATGGCTTAGCCCCACCATGAAAAATGATGTTAAAGTAAGCAAAATAAAGTCCGCCAACTCGCGCCGAGAATTGCACAGACAGCAGTTAGTAAGATTGGTTTCAGTAGCCACTTGTCTGGAAATACCGAAGACTAAACGGTTTTGAAAACTTTTGTCACGTAGTGATCGTCTTCTCAATAGAACATATTTGATCATGTCTTCTGGGCAATCAGAATCACGATAACGGCGTGGTGTTGTTGCAGGAAGTCCTGACGGAGAATACTTTTGCGGTAGTGCATCTCTATACATCGATACCACATTACGTGTTGATAGAAATGAACACGTAATGAAATAAGACCCCACGGTTTGATGATTTGTAGATGTGTGGGCTGTCTTTCATTTTGACACACAGAACAATGTTATAATAAACATACATACTGTATGTTAAATGTATATATCCGCCTTCTTTCATTTATCTTTCCATCCCCACAACAATATACATAAATAAATGGCATATTTTGGACAT